TGCGCGGCGGGTTCGCCAAGTGAGCATGGCAAAGCCAATCCTGCCGCTGCGCTGCCCGATGGTCATAGCCCATTTGTAGCATTCGTTCCATGAACTGGACGTCATGCTCGAAGCGATCCTCGATGCTCTGGAAGCCACACTTGTCTGCACGCTTCATCCGGCTGCGAGCGTCTTGGATCATGATCGCTTCTGGGCTCATGTTTCCACGGCCGCTTGCAGACACCACACGCAGGTTGAGGCCAGCCTTGATGTAGTCGCTGACTGGGCACTCAGTGCGAGCGAGGCCTGCCCTCGCAAGCTGCTGCTTTCGGAGAACTGAAAGTCTGGTGACGGCTTCCTCCGGCAGCTCGGTGTTGGTGGCAAGTTCGGCTGAGCAAATGTCACAGTGGGTCATGCCCCTGAGGACTAGACCCTTGCACTGGCTGCATTCGACCTGGATCACCGTCAGCTTGCGTCCCTTTCGAAGTGTCGGGGCGGTGATCGGCACATCAAAGCCAGGTGGAGGCCCCGCAGGCTCAGGCGGAGCGTACCCGCTGTAAGATGCTTCAGGTTGATCTTGCTCTGCCACATTCACGATGGAAGTAGGTGGAGTAGAAGGTGCAGCCTTGCTTGCAGGTGCCGATTTGCTGGTTGCAGTCAGGGAAACAGGCATTGCTTTTGCGGTTGGCCGGGGCTCGCCAGTGATGGCGGCCCGGCTCTCACCTCCATCCGCTGGAGCAGCCTCGGGTAGGCCAACGGCGCTTACCCTGGTCCAGAGTGTGGACTGGCTTTCGGTGTTTTCGACGGAGACAATGTATTCTGGAGGTACCGTGTCAACCGTCATGATCCCACCGGAGCGGTTCTGGAAAAAGATGAGACCGCCATCGACTGCTTCCCGAAGTGCAACGGTAAGCTGAATAGGGTGCTTGCCGCGGAGACCGCTTTGATAGTCGGTCTCCGTAATGCGACTTGCAGCCAGGTAGACATGGGCTCGATCGCTGCCAACAAACTCGCCCCCGCCTGGGATAAGGCCCTCCTTGACGATCCGCTTCCAGCACGCTGGCCTCGTGCGGTGGTAGGCCAAGACAGGGATCTCATCCGCTTTGGCGATGGGCTTCCCAATGAAGGGAGCTTTGGCTTCTGGCCTGAGCGCAGGACTGCAGTACATCAGGGCTGCCGATCTGTAGTTGTCCTGTGCGCTCTTGATCGCGTGCTTGCTTTGGCCAGCAGCGGCACGCATCTTCAGAGGCCATAGTGCCACGCCCTTCTCCTCGAGTTTGTGCCCTTCTCGAATGCCCAAAAACTCGAATCGGTTTTTCTTGTCCTTTGCTGCTATGGCGATCAAGTCTTTGACGGTGAGCGGCGGGGCACTGCGGTGATTCAGGCCGAAACACCTGGCTACTTCGTCCAAGTCTGCGTAGCCATCTTCGTCAACTTCAAGGCCCAGATATTGGTCATGTTGTCGAACAACTTTGGATAACTGGGTGAGCCAATCCTTGAGGGGTTTCGCGAAGAAAAGGTGCCCGCCATTGAGCTCCCATCCGCTCGCAAAGTGGAGCGGCAATTGCTTGTCGCCAAGCTGGACCACTTGCTGGAAGGCGCCATCGACCTCAGCCATCTTGTACGTGTACTCGTGGTATTGGTCTGCAAGATACTGAGGGCACACAACGTGGCCTTCGTCAGCATCAGCTGCCGGCGGCGATGAGGGTGCCTCGGGCTCGGGCTCGCCAATGATGGCGGCCGAGCCTTCCTCGCCATGAGGTGCGCTTTCTTCTTCATGTTCTTCTGGCACGACCTCCTCATATGGCGATACATCCTCATCATCGATGGCATCGATGTCGAGCCATGCCGCTGGGTTTTCACCAGTTTCGACGCGATGGCTGAGTTCCTCAAGCGTCTGGAGCCGACCCTCATAGGTTTCTCGGTTGATGTCCAGCTCTGCAGCAATCTTCTCCTGCTCTTCCTCCATGACATCAAGGCGTTGCTGGAGGATCTTTTCTGCCGTGGCGTCATTTGCGACGAAAATCTCCGAAAGGTCTGGATCATCTTCCTCCCCTTCGGGCTCATCATCGATGACGGCCATGTCTGCCTCGGTAATCGGCGCAGCACGGTTTGGCTGCTCCGCAGCGACGTCCTTCTTGGTAAGGGCGCGAGCGGTGAGCTCGGCTGCGGCGATTGCCCTTTTGTGGCGGACATCGGCAAGGTTTCGGAGTAGCTCTTCGTATCGCTGATGTGGAGGGAGGCGATCATCACGAAGCTCAAGTCCACCGAGCGGACGGTTCATCGGACTGGTGGCAGCTACTTCCAATGCGATATCTCCGAGAACGTAGAGTCTCATAAGCAGGTGGAATACACTCTGACAAAATGAGAACATATGATTTGCATTCTCGTCCGATTTTTCGCAATGCCATTGGTCACGCAAGTCCATGCGGATGTTGAGGACGTTGATGTTGACTAGGCGGAAGCGACACTTGCCGATCTGAGAACCATACACCTCATCCTGGAACCACTGACTCAGCCGGTTGAACCAGTCGCTGTAGGGTCCCTGCCGCGTGAAGCTGTAGGTCTCAGGATCGGGCGCGCTGATGAGAGCGGCCGAGTGCACACCGTATCGAAACATATCGGCGGCAAACCCGACCAGCTCTTCTTGCACCTTGTCCTGTAGCTCCATGTAGTGATCGCCGTCAGGATGATCGAAGGGCCATGAAGTCTGAGCTTCAATTCCTTTCTTGCCAATGAGCTCGTTGCCAGCCCATACCAGCAGCATGCAGCCTGGGAACTGGCGCTTTAGGCTCCTCACGGCAATACGGGCTCGTTTCAGCAACAATGGCAACTCTGCACCCCAGAGGCATTCGTGATGAAAATGCTTGCAGTAAGTCGGACGATAGGCCTGGAAGTGATCGGCCAGATCGAACCTCTGGGGTTTGCGTTTCGAACCGCTAACCAAGCACAAGGTGGAATCAGAGATCAAGATGTGTACCGTTTGGTAGTCTTGGCTCGTGGGCACACCTGTGAAGGCGGCTAGATCATACCGTGAGGTCCCAATCAACGGGCCCAACTCCGGCTCTAGCCATCGGTTCTTCTCGACCAGGCCCGCCAGCACAGAATGTGCTGTGTGCTGGCCAAGGACGCCATTCAGCACCGCGTCCACATCCTCAGAATATCCGTCTTCGAGGTAGTAGCCGGAGGCCACAATCTGCCGAAAGTGCGACTCGAAGATGTCCAAGGTCTCCCTGCGCATGTCTTGGTCGGCCGACATGGTGTGATCAACAATGATCGCTGGCAGGGCGCGCTGCGCGACGGCGGCAGAATGACTTGAGCTGCTATGCTTGAAGCAGCGGTGAACCAGATCAGTGTACTCGAACGTGTAACCTTCGGCACTCTTCAATGACTTGCCTCTACTTTGCCCATGAGTATGATCATGTGTGCACATGTATTGCTCAAGACATGCAAGCTCATGAAGATTTGTGCATATGTGCCAACTCTTACGCATAAGATTACCGTGATTATCGCGCACACCAAACATGCATCCATCGAAGTTGTATCCTTGCAAGTTGTGGCGTTTGATGAAAGCCAACACCGATGGCCAATGCCAATAGCGACAGCGACGGGAAAGCTCAAAGGCAACAAACGTTCTTGAGTCAAGGTGGTCACGCACGAGCTTGGCGAAGCTCTTGAAGAGTTTGGTGAACTCCTTTTGTTGCTCCTTGATGCGTTCCAATCCTTCCTCAGTTTGCTTGTTGACGTTTCCCCATGGGCTCCCGCCTGTGCAGGGCAAACTGCCGTACAGCAGAACCTTTGCTTTTGGGTGCTGTTGTTTGAAGGTGTTGATTTCTTTGTCAAGCCACCTCATACACTTGCTTGTGGTTGCATCTTCGTTGATTGTGACGCGGAGGACTTTACATCCTTTTGATTCGCTGCGCATTTGCCCGAGCTTAGAATCAGCAGAACAACAAAACTCAATAAGCAACCTATCATGTGTGTTCGCATGTGCAACACCCCCCTGCTGCAAGACTTTGGAAACCACCGTTCTCGTTGGGGCTCCGGCCTGCACCGGGCTGTCAGCGAGCTTTTGCCCAATGCCGATCAGCCTAAGGGCGTGTTCCCACTTGGCAGCGTTAGTGAACGCCTTTGTGAGGATGTCTGCTGTTTGGTAGAGGGTTCCTACATTTACCAAATCGAACTGCTCTCGTTCGAACTGTTGCTTTAGCCATTTGAAACTCACAGTTTGCGTTCTGTTCACGCGCTTCATGGATGACGAGTTCCCAGACTTCAAGATTGTGATGGTCGCCTGATTGTCCTCCATGAACTTGACTTGGCAAAAGTCTGGAAAATGGACCTTCAAACCCTGAATGTTTGAGACATCCAGTCCAGAATCGACATTGCCGTTCCGAATCTCGTTGATTTCGGGGTCAATGCGAGTGAACACTTCCTAGACATCCATATGTACCACTAAATCTGGTACATGGCTTCATTTGTACTGTTTAAATTTTTTCACGCACATATGGTTTTTTTTAACGCACTTTCACGCCAAAAGCTTTGCCAGAAGTTGCTCCATGCTACCAGTTTTGCCAGAAACATGGCACGAAGAGATTTGGTCTCTTTCATGTTTGTTAACTTGTGACAAGTGCAGCTCTACATGTGAGCCTTAAGTGGAGCAGATTCTTGAGCCAAAGTGGAGGCAGTTCCAAACTATATATAGTATATATTTATATCAAAATACCGTAGACACGGTATTGTGTAACAATACTTGGTGGATGGTTTTTGCACCGCTCAGCCGGATCGTGAGAAAAACCGGAGGATCACACGAAGCAGGAAACCTAAGGTTGAAGAAGTGTACAAATATATGGGTGTTTCTTAAAATGGTGGTACCCAACAAACATATGGGTAACTCTTTGGGTGTTTTGGAGGTACCACCATTTAGAAAACATCCATATATATATATATATTTCACAGCATTAAGGTTGCCCGCAGGCCCATCCCTTCCGCTCCCGCTGCCATTTTCTCTTGGCCACTCGAGCTCACAGCTCTATCGAGCGAAGCTTTGCCGGGAGTCCCAGCAAGAACCGTTGCAGCGTACGGATCGCAGCAGTACGCTTGTGTGTCATCCGGGTGATTCTCATCCAACGCTTCATGGCATCCTCGTCCATCCACGTGGAATTCACTGTAGGGTTCAGCTGCGAGCTCCGGTGCTCATGCACCACATGCCATAGTAGGTGGAATTTGGGTCGAAGCCTCCAGAGGCGCTCACCACGTTGCAAGGCTCGGGATGCTAACTGCAGATACGAACACAAGAACAAATGGCCCACATGAATTTTGTGGCGCCACTCATCATTCGTCATGAACATCCCAGCCTTGCTCATGACTCTTACAAAGGAGTCCGCCGACCAACACACCGTCGCCAACAGATCATCTCCGCAATCTCGTGTTGTAAGTTCTGCTGAAAGCCACTTGCAAACCACAAACGTGTCGTAGCCCTTGCGTCGAAGTTCTGGGTATTCGGAGGACTCCCACGTGAGGTTCACCTTGGTCAACCGTCGAAGAGTTAAAGTGAGCTTGTTCGCCTTTGCATACTCACGCAGTCGAACTGTGGCGGACTGCAACCTGTCCTCCTGTGTACGACCTTGCCAATGTCCGGGTCGACTGGCCAACATTCGTATGGCGCTGGCGCAAAGGTCACGGCCGCAGCCTAAGTGAAAGGCGTGCAAGATGTCGACTGCAAGCATCTTCAAGTTGAACCCTTGTAGACTTGCCAGCGATGGCTGTACCAGCCAAGGGCTATCTTGATAGATCGTGGCCATCCAAGGCGCAGTGGGGTGGACATTGGTGAAGGACCAGGCAGCATCGTTACTGCCCTTTGTGCACCGGCACATCCAGCACACCTGCATGGGAAAAATATACAATATGAAAACCAGCCATCAAACCGAAAGAATTGAACTCCCAATGACACAATGACAATCAGTGACACTAATTAAGGGCCCACCCAGCCCACCATTGACACTATTTCAACAGTTGGGCCTCCTCAAAAGTTGCATAGCGCTGAAAGCTGAAGGTCTGATGGAGGAACTTCCAGTCGCCCTTGATGTTAGTAATCCAAAATTTCAGCGTCAAGACCTGACCATTGCGCACACATCGGCTTATATTTGATCATCAAGTCCCATGTAGCCCATATGGCTAGCCCAATCTTTTGGCTCAATACCGTTAACACCAAATAATGTAAAAGTTTTACGAAAAAGTTCAAGGCACGCGCTCGCCAGTCTTCGGGTCCAGAATGGGAACACCAGTTGTAGACAGCTCATTGAAGCTGTCCCGAATGGCAGCTGTAGCAGCTTGAAGAGTAAGATTCACGCCATTCTCATCAAACACATACCTGAGTATGAAGCGTATATGCAGTGAACACATAATGTACTATTAGATATACAATATATACGATCTAAATAGAGCTTCGAGAAGAAAGACAAAACTGAAAACAGCAAAGATCATTTGATGGCTCTGAGGCACATGGACGCTGGAATGCAGCATATGAGGAACCTGCTGCAGGCCGAAGTGGAGATGCAAGGGCTCAAGTCGGGGCACCAGTGGTAGTTCATCCAAGATCCACCAAGTGCTTGCCCTTCATCCCCTGCAGCAGCCATTGAATTGAATCAGATCAAATAACTATAGTATTGATTATTTCAACATGTCGACGGCCATATAGGGACACAACCAAAGTCCAAAGCTGCTCAATAAGCAAAGGCAAGGATCCATAAAGCGTCAAAGGTACACTTGTGGCCTCTTGGCCAAGCACCGGATGATCGGGGTAGTCCTTCAAAAGATTCCGCCAGTAGCCCTCCATTTTGTCGAACTGGGTGAGATACTTCAGATGCCCCAAGTTGATCATGGCAGTTACCTTGCAAATGAATTCTAAAGCCATTGAAAGGGCATGTTCAAAGGACATACCAAACGATTCAAACAAAAAGTTGAACCAGGGATTGAATATTGGTCCAAATTTCCAAATCGGCTGGAAGCAAGATCGGCCATGATTCAATCGCCACTCTGCCAGAATTTGTGTCAACGCAAAGCGGCAATTCCACATAGGATGGTTCAGCCGGAAAGCTGATGCCACCTTGCGCAGCTTTGCGATGAACATTGTGCTCACGTTGGCCCGCCCTTAGATACAGGGAATTGAACCCCATGCCTTTAAATGTTTTCCCTTTCTTCATTCAAACAGCCTTAGAACACCAAAAGAATCAAACAATTCCTAAGTTTGACCCAGTCTCCGAGTAAACACCTGTGAATCGAAGATCTCCCCGATCTCACAGGCGTGCTTGATCGTGGACCCGCCAGTGCCCACTCCGCGCGCAAGCCTGAGCAGGATTGATCGCATGGGCGATCCATACCCCTCAATTCTACACCTTCTGGAGGCCCCTCTCCCAAAACAAAGATTAACAAATAAAGGAAAGATTGAATCATCCAGGGAGCACATCATCCAATCGTTGGCGCTTGTTGCTTAAGCGCGGGTCCTCCCAATCACCTGCGCCGGGTTGGCATTAAACTGACAAATGCACCAAAAAAGCCACCATCCTTTCCAGTGCAACCATCTTTTCACATCGAGTCAACACAGCTGTATTCTAAGCTGCTCTAGGGATCACGGTGAGGTCATCAAAACATCGAATGCTTGACCCGAATCTATGGTTCATCGGGCATGCACCCCTCCCACAATTGCACACCCATTGTCTTGAAACATGAAGGTATCCAATCTCTTCATTTTTCATTAGCACTAGTTTCTGTGCAAAGTAGGCTATGGGAATACAGCCACGGCAGATTCACCCCCTGCATTCAGAGGAGAAAGGACCTCTCACATATCTCATCTCACATCATCCTTGGCTGCCCGAGGCCGCAGATCCAGCGTCCTTCGCCTTGGCTTCCTTCTTGCGGCACGCCAGGACCGCCTTCGCCTGGGCCTTGATCACCTTCATGTTCGATACCTTGGGTCGGGCACCATGCAGACCAGATATAGAAAAGGTCATGACCCAATTCATTTTCAAGGGGGTACAATAAAAGAAAAAGTTGACATGGCAGAGTGTTGTGAAAGGTTCATTGTCAGCAATCTCGGATTGCAAATCTTTGAGGGTCGACAAGTTGTCCATGCCCTTGATCCTCAGATGTGATGGCTAGGGAATCCATGACGGCGATGTCAGTCAGACATGTCTTATATATAGTATATCTCCTAATCCCACTATATATATGTATATATCCAAAACCAAAAGATACATCCAAAACGACTGAACTTGTCATGGCACTCCTGAAGAAACTCTTCATAGCGGTCTTTGAACTTCATCAAAGAAACGCGGAGCTTGTCCTTCGGGTCCAGGTCAAGGGCAGCCATATTGCATTGGTTGATCTCCTTCTTCAATTGGCTACCTTGGTCACAGAATGTCACAGATTCATGAATATAAATCTATATTACTTATTTATTGACACAACCAAAAAAGTTGATAAATAGGAGACATTGAATTTGCAAGCAGTGGGCTCAATGAAGATTTCAATTCTGCAGCGCCTGTTGGCTCTGCTGGGGTCACAGAAGGTCGTGACTTCGGTTTGGCCTTCGGTTTGGATTGGCCCTTTGGTCGCGGAGCTCCTGCAACCCAAATGATCCAAATAACAATTGCAAACCTTTATGCATTCAACACCTCAACCCTCCCACAAAACCAAAAAGGCTTCAAAATAGACATTCGAACTTGTCTCCTCCAGTCGATGCCTGCAGGGCTTGTTGAGCACGTTCCACCACATCAATACCTGCAACTGGAGCCTGAGGACGCGAAGCCCCTCCCGAAGAAACGCCAGGAATCCCAGCTGGGTCACTCATAATCGCTCCCAAGCTTTCTGATGTAGTGGCCACATTCAGCCGTGTGGTAGCTCTCGTGCTGACTGATTCCGAGCTCGTCCTTCTCCTTGAGACCGTCACCCAATATTGGAAGCACTCTTCAACTTCAGGGCAGTCAGGATCAGGTGTGGCGCCACCACGGCTCACAATGCTCCTGATCTTCTCCAAAGGCCAATTTGCAAGGAGCATATCTCGCACCGACCAAGGCTCCCGCTGCCCTTCAAACCGCTCAGCAGACTCTTTCTGCAGGACCACAGCTGACTCACACTGCTGCTTGTTGCAACCAGAGTTCACCCACGCACGGAGGAGCTTCAATTTGTCCTGGCGTACACGCCCAATCCAAAGAATTGGAATTTTCACAACTACGACCTACTGCAACCAAAAGGTAAAAACATGTAAACAAATCAAACCAGGGCACTGCGGAACTTCCATTGAATAGCTGAGACATATGTGGAAAGTCAGCTGCAGCAGGCGATTGCATGAAACGGTTCAGCCTCATGGCTTCATTCCTGTGTGTCGAAGTGTTGACACGCTCATCAGCGTCTGCATTGGCAGCAGCAGGGGCCGGAGCTGATGGAGCTGCAGGCATCGATGGCCCTTGTGCAATCATTTGTCGGATATCTGCTGGCAGCTCATCAAAGCGCACCGTAGACCCCCCCACTTGGGCAACCATTGAGCCAGGAGCGGATAAAGGAGCCTGCGGTGTCGTACCCAGGTTAACCGGCGTTGCTGGCACAGTGGCTGGAGGTGGTACTGGAGCAGGTGGAGTCAGTGTTGTCACTGGAGCGGGCACTTGAGGCATCGCCACTGGAGCTGGTGGAGCCTGTGGAGCCGGTACTGTTGGAGCAGGTGGATTTGGCGCTACCACTCCATCCATTCTCACTGGAGCGGGTGGATCAGGTACTCGAGCCTCATGCGTTGCCACTGCAACAGGTGGAACCAGTGTTGTCACTGGAGCAACTGCAGGTGGAGCTGGTGGATCAGGCACTGCCTCCAGAGCAGGCAGAGCCAGTACTGGAGCGGGTGTCAGTCCAGCCTCAGGCAGTGGTAGTGGAGCAGGCAGAGCCAGTGTTGTCACTGGAGCGGGTGGGTCAGGTCTCACTGCTTCATGAGGTGGTACTAGAGCAGGCGGATCTGTTGGCACTGGAGTGGCAGCCGGACATGGTGCCACAGGCAGATCTGCAGGAGCGGCAGCCTGAGCCGGTGCGATTGGAGCAGGCGGATCTGTTGACACTGGAGCCACAGCCTGAGGCGGTGCCACTGGAGCAAGCAGCTGTGTTGTCACTGGCGTGGGTGGATCCACTGGAGCAGGATGAGCCTTTGCTGCTGCCTCACCGACAGTGTCAACGAACGTATCCTCGACTTCCATCTCCTGTCCCAGGATCAAGGTTGGTGAGCGACAGCTGTCCTCCAAGCCAAGCTGGTTGTCGGGCACAAAGGGACTTTCATCCACCATCACAACATCTGAATCTCCAGTCTCCGTAGGTGCTGGGGTTGCAGGCACACTGGCCTTTGGTGGCAAATCCTCATGGACAAGCGCAACGCCTAGACATGGTGTTGCCTGGGCTGGAGTCGGAGTTGGTTCGATGGCAGGATCCACTTCAGGTTGTCTCTCAGCCGCCTTAATCTCTTTCCGGGCGGCCAAGTAGTCCCGGGTGCGCTGAGATGCAGAGCTCATCGTGCTCTTCTTAATCTCCTCCTCAGTGAGCTCTTCACCATCCAAATCAGCCTTGCAGGATCGATAGCATGCATAATTCCCCAAAACCCATCCTCCCAGGATACAATGAAGAACCACAAACTTCCTATACTAGTTTTTGACCATTACACCTGGCCTGAATGTGTCCACGGCGCTCCAATGCCTCAGATCCACCATCAGGAATCTGACCAAGCTGGCGTTGTAAACGGTTGATGGTGGCCTGCGCGGCCGACAAAGCTGCTGCCATCTCCAGCGATCCAGGCGACAAGGTTGTGACGCTGTCACCCAACCTCAAATGGACATCAAAAACACTGTAATTGAGACTGTTGAGATTGGTTGAGATTGCCAAAAAAAAACTTACAATTCACCATACAGATGCCAAAGAACTGCAGCGAGGAGACTTGTGAATTTGCAGCCTCCGCTGTTGGAGCGTGCTGCACCTCCACCATCTTCAATCCAGCTTGGAGGGTTCCACAAGACCTCGAATGCATAAAATTGAAGGAAAATCGCATATATACCTTAAGAGAGGAAACACACATATAGTAAGTGTTTTTCATGAATATAATATTTGTTAATACATACCTATATTCATATAGCACCAATAAATTGTTGAGCCCCACCAAGTTACAACTCAGAAGCCTGGGACTCTAGGTTCAGGGTGTCCGATCTCGGAAAGCGACGTGCAGGGGGGCTCATGGCCACCACAGCTTCCTTCTCAGCTGGCTCCCCAGCCTTGAGGACTTTCTCCGGTGGCTCATCCACCTCAACCTGCTCAGAAATCGGTGGCCGCCGGGTTCTGCTCGATGTCTCGGGCTCCGTCTTCTTCGCTTTGGCAGCCGGTCGTTTCAGCACCATCCGCTCAGGCTCCACCTCCTCGTCATCATCGATCTCCTCTTCCTCCATGTCTTCAAGAGGTGGAGGAGCGCTTTTGAGAACAGTCCTCGCCTTCCGACCCCCTTTGGCTTTTGCCTTACCCTTCGCTTTGGGTTTCCCCTTAGCCTTAGCTTTAGCTTTCCCCTTCGCTTGTGATTTCGCTTTCCCCTTCGCTTTTGGTTTCGCTTTCCCCTTCGCTTTTCCCTTCGGAATAGCAGCCTGTTGCATCGACTCCGAAACGCACAGCTGCAGGACATCCTGAGCTATGCCCATGAGGCCCAGCCGAACAACTCCCGATGAGAGCGAACCCCAAATTTCAAGATAATGTCTACTGGGTTTCCCAAAACCAAAACATTTGATCAACAGTGAGCAAATGCTGTCCAGGCACCGGGGGAGGGTCTGTACCCAAAACCAACTTCATGACTTTCATGGTATCGATTGGAGA